TCAATGTAATTACCGTTAATCTGTTCCAGCGTCCGCGGACCACGCGTCAAGGGCGGAAAAACGGCCGCGGACCACGAGGCAGGGCGGAAAAACGGCCGCGGACCGCGCGGCAGGGCGGAAAAACCGCCGTGGACCGCGCGGCACGGGCAGAAAAACCGCCACGGACCGCACGCCAGGGTGGAAAAACGGCCGCGGACCATGTGGCACGGGTGGCAAATGGCTGCGGACCACGTGGCACGGGGAGGAAATGGCCATGGACCATGTGGCACGGCGGAAAATGGCTGCGGATCTGGTTTGTACCCCGAGGCGGAGTTCGCAAACCGAGGTAAATTTTTGCGGCCGGAGCTGGTCATAACCCAAAAAGTTCGTAAGCAGAGGCGTTCGTAACCCGAGGTACCACTGTATATTAGACTTGAATCAGAACAGCTCCTCCAACCACAGAGTGGATGGGTGACTTTGGGTACATCACTCTCATCTGCCCTACCTCTTAGGATTTTGGTTATGGGGATAAAAAGGAAAGATATCTCACGGACACTGAACTCTCAGAGATAAAGCAGAAATGAATGAATGAATGAATGAATGAATGAATGAATGAATGAATGAATGAATGAGATTTGATGCCTTGCATGAAAGCATGTGCTGGGATAAGTGAACTAATAAACAGAAGTGGGGAAATCAAGGTATCAGTGTTATCATTTTGAGCCAATTAAGGCAGCTAATACTTAAGTAGGTTCAGGGAAAGCAGGAACTGAAAAGTTAGTTTTCTCCACCCTGTGCAGCCAGTGTTTATTCTGTTCAGGACAGCTTTCCCTACTTTTCATCTGAGTTCTCCATGAGCAGGTATTCCTGATTTAATTCCCTCTTACCTGTCCCTCTGCTGTTGTAATTCCCCACTTAGACTCCCAGAAAGTACAATGTTAGCCCCACAGAGCTTTGTTTTTCTTTTTTGAAAAACCAACACAGTGTAGGAAATATGTTTTGTACTCAGCTGAAAATGCAAATGGCCAATAAAACTTTAAAACAGGAAATAGCAAGGGGAAGAGGGAGAAAAGACATACATACATACAGGTAGTCTTCATTTAGCAATCACATTTGGGACCAGCAACTTGGTCATTAAGCGAAGTGCTCGCTAAGTAAAACCACAAATGTGCTTATGATCTTACTTCAGCTTTCCTTTGCTTTACAGACCTGGGAATGTTGTAAATGTGATGATTGGTTGTAAAGTTATTTTTTCCTCACCACTGTAACCATGAACAGTCACTAAACGAGGTAGTCACCAAATGAGGACTAGCTGAATCATTTAAAATGCTATGTGGAGGACAAAAGAAGGCGACTTCTTCTCTTCTGATGGTTAAAAACACCACTTTAATTACAAGCAAGATAAGTGGTGGGAGAATGGAGCAACACCTATCAGGAAATGGGTAATAAAAGGTGGCTTGCTGATATTAGCCAAAGGAGAGAAAAAAGTGAAACACTTATGATCTGTTATATTCATTGTATGGTAAGACTATAGCACAGTGAAATCATGCTATACAGTATTCACACATAAATGCTTGGTTGCTCTTCTAGACGAGGCAGGTTGAAAAATTATAACCATTCCCTCTGGACCAAGTTTTCTCTTAAAAGTGTATAAATGACAAATACTTGGCACGGATCAACATGGTAATAGAAGAATGTACACTACAGTATGAATATGAACCAGAGACAAGGAACTGAAGCTCAGCTTTTTGAGCATCAGATCTTTTTGCAGAGCTTGGCTCCATGTTTATGAAAGCTAGAAACTTGATTTCAAAATCAGGGACTGTTGTCCTAAAAAAGATTCTTTGCCAGATTTTTGATGGAATGAATACTTTGGATCATGCCTTTGCACTCTCAGTGACCACCTCACATTTAGTTTCAAGGCAGGCCCAGAAATAAGACAAGCTGCAAAATTGGAGAGATGAAACACTGGATACTGGAAAAGTGTAGGAAATGTTAACAACATCTTTATTTTTAAACATGGCTTGCACTGTTTCTGCTAATTATGTTGGCCATATTTATGGCATAGACTGTTCATTTTCTGGCTGTGCTGGAAAGACTACCTAGAGAGGCGTTATTCTCCCCAGCACAGTGTCAGATGTCACCTGGTAGGATATTAAAACTGAGATGAGATTGTGTCAAAAATATTTTCTTTTATTGCATGGTAATTCATAAAGCAGTGCCATTGTGTTAAAGAGAAGTCCCTTTGCTGGAGAAATGTTACCTCAGGCTGCCAAAGGGGAGACATTTTTCCATAGTTCAGTGTGAATGTAAGCCTTCACAGCCACGCAACATCCTCTCCTGGAATAAATGGCTGTTTTAATGAGAGCAGAGAACCAGCCTTTCAGACTTTTCACACTAGAAAAGGGAAGCTTGGATACTCAGACTCTCGTCTTAATTTCCTTTAATATAAGCACTAATTGGATTGAAAGAAGCCAAAGATAGAGCATAATAGATTTATGATCCTTTTTAAAAACATTATTTTAGTGAAACAAAACCAACATTTGAGCATGTGGAAGGAGCACAGGCTGCTTGTTTTTACGAAGTAATTATGACTTAGTGTTTACTGTCTCCCTGATGAGGCCATCGGTTGCTTTAAAGTGGCTCTGGGATGAATATCAAAAACAGAATTTACAACCAGGCCTTTCCGACATGAAAAATAAAGCTGAATATTTATATATTTATTCTGTTCTGCCCCCATGCCCAGTGTATTTCTTCTGACTTACTGCATCCTTGTTTTTCTCCAAAATTCTGCCTGCCTCTTGAAAAGCTTTTCTGCTTGATCTGAAATGATTTTGGTTGAGGGGTGGGGGGAGAAAGAGGGAGCAATTATTAGACTCCATGCAAAAAAAAAAAAGTATTTTCTGGTGCATCTGATACTTGGCATTTACAAGGATAAATTCTGTTTGCTACCATTTGTTGGTATGAAAGTTGGTTGCCCCATAAAAATTGGCTCTTGGCTTTCATTTAGTTTCAGCTTTCTCAGAAATGAAGCATCTGGATTAATGTTTTGGAATGTTTGGACAGGCACTGCAGTAAGGAAAGTCAAGATGGCCTGGGCTGCAGCTTAATAGTAATTAAACTTAAAAACAACTATAGTTTCTGAAACTGTCAAGTGGATGCCTTCCAAATATATTGGACCACAACTCCCTTGAAGCTCTTTAG